ACTCACAATGATGTTGCAGAGCAGAAGAAACAGAGAAATGTCCTTCAGGCACCGGCGTCTCCAGTGGGCCCGGGGGGCCAGGAAGATGGCCGTGGCTTCCTGAGGGCCCACCAGGCTGGGGCTCACCGACCTGGGGGTGGGTGGGCAGGTTGGCAAAGTGTGGAGGGCATCCGGGTTGGCGAAGGTAAGGCAGGGTTCCTTGGGAGGGGCGTCGTGGGGCTCAGCCCCCGGCGGGCCCCGGTGGAGGCTCTCAATGATAAACACGTTCTGGAAGGTGTGCTGGGCGATCATGAGCAGCGCGTGGGCGAGGTTGAGCGCCCCCAGCGTGTCCCTGGGCACGCCCACCACCACGGCGACGGTAGAGTAATAGGAGATGGCGTACTGGCCCAGGGCGGCGCCCATCAGCAGGGCCACGTCCAGGGTGCGTGTGGGGTTCTTATGGTGGTCCATGGCCCGGCGGTCAAAACGGTAGATGACCGAGCCGCTCAGGCTGACCAAGGTCATGAGCCCCAGGCAGGCGATGTTGAAGCTGTAGTAGATGACCAGGGCCTGCTGGGTGTGGTCCCCGTCCCCACTCACTTGGACCTCATAGATGATGAAGACGGCCAGCCCCACCAGGAGGAGCATCAGGCCCAGGACTGGGCCCACAAAGAATGTCTCCCGGAAGAGGCTGCCCCGGGATGGGGTGTGGCCGTGGCCGTGGCCGTGGCCGTGGGTGGAGGAGGCCAGCAGCCTGCCCACGTTCTTCCACATGACGTAGAGCATGGTGGAAGCGAAGAGGCTGTACTCGATGTTGAAGGGGTACAGGTAGAAGTAGCCCCGCTCGAAGATCTGGCAGACGGTCGTGGCGCAGGCACAGTCGCCTCCGGCCTGGCTGCCCACGCGCTCTGCTGTGGGGAGATGGGCACAGAGCTGTACCGCCCACCCCTCTTCCTGGAGGGGCCCCATCTGAAGAGCCTCACCCCAAGACTGTGACCTCTCTCTCTGCCACATTCACTACCGTACCCCAAACGCCCACGCTGGGCTTGGCATGTTCATTCATCCCACACATGTTTATTGAACACCTACTGTGTGCCTGAGACTGCAGGACACATCAGCAAACAATAGCCAGTGCTCAATTAAAAAAAACAAAACACTGAACTGCAAAGCTGCCCACTTCACCCCATTCCTTCAGGAAAACACTGTCCATCTGTCCCCCCCAGGAATGACCCCTGGCTGCCTGACGTCGGCATGGTTCTGGTCTTGTAGAAGGTGGCCCTCTTGGAAACCCCGAAAGTTCCAGCTTTCTCTGAGCTCTCCCCAGCATCTGACGCAGCCTGGAAAGCCAGCTGCTGGGCCTAGGTCTGGGTCCTGACCCCCGGTCACCTGGGCTGGACCACACTGAAAGGGACCTTGTCCTGCACCAGCCCGTGCTGTGTAGGGTGCCTTGGGCCTTGGCAAACATCTCTTTCGATCCCAGGCACTGTGCCAGCTGGTTTTGCAGATGGAGAAGCTGAGGCTCATGGAGGCAAAGTGACTTGTGATGGCAGAGCTGACGCACATGACCTGACTCTGAGCCCGGCCGGGGCAGGTACCTCTCCGGCCTGCCTCTCTGTGCCCCCGCAGCCCCAGCACATGCCGTTAGCTGCCTCCCCAGGTTGGTTTTTGCCACCCTCAGGACCCCCCTGTGTGTAAAAGGTGGCCCTTTGTCAGTCTTGCTGGGCTGGGGATCTCGGGGGGGAGGGAAGGGAGTGGGCCCACACTTTCCCTTCCTGGACTCTCCCACACTGGGGGGGGTGGGGGTGTGCCTGTGTCTCCAGACGAAGTCCAGATGGACTTAGTCATCTGGTCTGCTCCTGACTATTGGGGGGCCCTAGAGAAGTCCCAAGAAGTAGGAAGGACCAGGGGGACAGTACCCCATTCTTCCTCGGGATGGCATTTTGGTTAAAAGCAAAGATGAATCTGAACACTAGTTGCCCGATTTCAAGCTCTGTGACCTTGGGCAAGCTGTACAACCTCGCTGTGCCTTAGTTTCTTCGCCTGGAAAATGGGAATATTGATGCTACCCATCTCACAGGGAGCTGTGAGGGTTAAGTACCATGAGGTTTCACACACTTGGCACGGCGCCCGGCATGCAGAGCTCAGTGGACGGCCACCATTGTCATCGTGACTGTATTTCTAGCTTCTCCTTGCCGGGCTCTCCATCTGATCCCTGCTTCCGCCATCAAGACATTCTGCTCCCTTCCCCTCCCTCCAGCCCCATCGCCCTTGCCCTTTCTTCTGGGAGCCCAAGCCCCTTCGTTAGTGGAATGGGGACCCGGACAGTGGGACCAAGGCTGTGTTCTCCAGGGTCTGAAGGGCCCTCCCGTGTCACCTATGCCACAGGTCAGCGTCAGAGCCAGAGCCTGGAGCAGGAGGTAGCTCTCCTGGGAGGGCGCAGAGGTCCACTCTGCAAGCCAACAAAGCCCCAGCCCGAGGCCCAGGGTCACAGGGCCAGGGGGCATCTGGCGTGGCACTCACGGTCGGCAGCCAGGCGGGCGTGGCTGGCGTTGCTGTGGGAGTAGGCCTGGTGCACGGATTCATCCACCACGGCCGCCATCCAGTTGGCCAGGTTGGTGGTGAGTGTGAACATGAGGCCACACCTGTTTGGGGAGGGAGAGCAAAGAGGCCAGTGAGACCCTTTGGCTCATCTTGGGAGCTACAGTGGGAGGTGGTGGTGAGACACAAGGAAGCAGTCAGGCCCCTGTGTGAACAGGAAGCGGAGCTTGGAAGAAACAGCCTGGCGGGGATGCAGGGATGCTGGGGGTGGGGGGTACCCAGGGGCTCAGGCTACCCTGCTCCCTCTCTGGGAAAAAGAACATTTAGTGCACTGCACAGCCCATCCCACCAAAGCCATGCAGGTGCGCATCCGCACGCGTGAGCGCACACACACACACACACACACACACACACACCACTGCACGGGGTGATGGAAATAGAAATCAGGCTGCCTAAGGGACATAAAGAGGCCCCAGGCCCAGGTTGGCAGCCCTCATCTCTCACGCAAGGTGAGCACTGGCATGCCGCAGGGCCATGAGCGCTGGGCAGGCACTCACCGGGTCAGATCCAGGTGGACGTGAACACAGTCCTTAGCAGAGACCCAGAGGAAGTAAGTCTGCGTGGAGAGAGAGTGGCGAGGTCAATTACTCTGCGGAGCAAATACAGCTGAACTCAAGCGCCCACGTCCACGCCCAGCAAGCTCCCTCTACCTCTAAAGCCTCACACTAAGTTATCAAGTTTATTTTAACTCCACAAAATGAGGCCAGGAACAATTCACATTAAACAGTGCTCTGTTCTGTAATAATTGGTAAAATGTCACCTATAAGACTTCCTGGTCCTCATGTTTGTTTTTTGCAGGGTCGAGGCCTGGCAGAGTTTGAGTGTCTGGTTGTTTGTTCCTGGGAGCAAGGCCAGCCTCAGGCAAGGTCTTGTCCAAGGTAGGAAGACTCTCTGGTGACTTCTCACTTGCTTTGGCAACACCCCCTGCCCCATCTTCATCCTGGGTTGCCCTGCAAGGCCTCGCCCTCCTCTGGCTGCCAACCAGTCCTTGCTGTGTGGGGTCTCTGTGTTTTCCTTTCTCCTGAGTATTCTTCAAACCCACAACATGTAAAAGACTAAAACGACATGAATTCCACTCAGAAATGTGTTGAATTGTGGACAACTGGCCCCGGGGATGATGGTTCAGGGGAGAAACCATACACGTGGTCATTCTGGTCTTACGGGGCTGGGTCGGTCTGGTCCCAGGGAGGGCCAGTCCTGCCTCAGCTTGGTAGGAAGATCTTTCAAAGTGTTGTATGTTCAATAAAGAAAATATATATATTTGAACATCTAGGAAAAACCCCAGGTACAGCATATCTTATTTCCTGAACAAATACACAATTCTGTATAGGGGACAAGGCTGAGGGCAAACTGGCCATGCCCAGGGCGGGACCCTGGGCTGAGACTGATGCCCTCCACGGGCACCCGGGGAGGGCAGGCCAGGCTCTAGGAGACAGGATGGCTGCCACGGCTCACACCTCTCAGGTGCGAACTGGTGGCACTGCTCAGGCTGAAGTGAAACCACAGGGCCCCCGAGTGGGCCCTCACATTTGGATATGACTTCATTATCCAGTGCTACCAAGTGTCTCATGATCTCTACAGTCCTAATCCCACATTATCTGACTGTTGAGGGTAGAATAAGGGTGGAGCTCAGCCATCCTGACCCCATTCCGGGTGCTGGTTCCCGACCACCACATTCAAGGACCCTCCTCCCACCCATCCACCCACCCACCCACCTGGAGGATGACAAACACAGCCTGGGTGAGAGGGTGCAGAATCTTGATGGCCGGCTGGCACTCGAAGAAACTGGAGTAGTAGCCCGTCTTGAAGACATCCATGACCAGGGTGCAGACCCCGAACAGCACCAGCCCACCTGGGAATGGAGTGGGGGGGTAGATCAGACAGGCGGGAGAGGAGGCTTATGGGTCTGAGGAGAGATGACTAGATGAATGGCTGGTTGGATGGTTGGGTGGATGGATGGGTGAATGGGTTCGACAGTGGCTGGCTGGGTGGCTAGGTGGATGGATGAATAGGTGTAGAGGTGAATGGACGGGCTGAAAGATGAGTGGGTGGATGGAAGGATGAGTGTATGATTGAGTGGGTGGATGGATGGATGGCCCATTGAGCTCCCATCTCTTTGGGGCTAAATAGACAGGGAGAAGGGCCCTCAATGGGCTCTTCTGGCTGCAGCTGTCACCTCTTCTCTGCTCTCCATCAGAGGGTCTCCCAGGACCACCCTTTTTTGATCTTTGACAGGGCAAAGAGGTCCCCCTTCACCCTCCCTCCGGCACCCTCTCTCTTCCTCTTCTCCCTCACCTGCAGCCCACCCTCCCTCAGCCACATCTGGTCTTGCCAGGGGAACGCCTAACCCCTCTCGCTCCACGCACTCACTCCCCAAATCCTCGGAGAGCCCCAGCTTCCAGCTCCCTGCCTGGCCCACCCCACCTCCGCCTTCGCTGTCCCCGGCACCTCGGAGCCAGATGGGGCCCGCGTGCGCGTCCCGATAGGGCACGGCGTCGGCGCAGCGCGCGGTGCGGAGCAGGTAGAAGCCGATCCAGAGCGCGGCCAGCAGCATCATGGTGGTGAGCAGCGCGAACACGTCGGTGTCGTACACGGCCACCTTGTTGAAGGCGCCGCCGCTGACGAGCGTGCAGGCGAGGAGCAGCACGTTCACGGCCAGCAGCACCGACAGCAGTCT